TGTGTCCTTGGCTTTGCCAGTATCCGATTGGGGCTTGAAAAATCATTCATTGAGACACTATATACTATGGATGCGGTGTGAGTGTGCTGCTGCTGGCAGTCAGAGAGTCGTAGAGATTTTTCGCGTGGGCGTCATATCTGTGTGTTTGTGTGTTGTTTTCATACTCCAAATATTTGTAGTGGGAAAAGTCTTGTAAAAGAGTACACTACCAGCGAGTCTATTGAGCTGGCTCCCAGTCCTGTCCCCCTTGTTCGCCATTAAGTTTCATTTTATGACAGTGTCGCTGGCTCTGGCTGGAAACAGTTGACGCAGCAGCTCCACTTTCGAAAAAGAAATAGAAAAGAAGAAAAATAGAAAAGTGGAAAGAGGAAAGAGGAAAACGAGGAAAATTCTAGCTAGCGTGGGCGTCAGTCGCCGTTAGTTTTTCTCTAGTTGGTTTTCCCCACTGCGGTTGCCTCCTTATTGTGTATGCCTGTCGCGCTTTGCTGATTTTTCTTAATGGAATTTATGCGAGTGTGAAATTTATGTCTGTGCCCAGATAGGAGAATGCCAAACGCAGAACGCCAAACGTAAAACGCAAAACGCAAAGCGGAAAACTATTCTTAGCCTGGCAGCACACGGGTTGCCTACTTTTTGGGGCTCTCTATGTTACTTCTCTCTGTAAACGGATTAAGTGCAGCGCGTGCGGAACTTGGCCATAATTCAGATTGGCATTTATCGGTTTCTTCCGGCTGTAATGCTTACATGTTCATTAGCTGTCAGCCGCATCAATGAACCGCAAAACCACGGTTGCATAAAACAAGCAGCGGGATGCCGAATCCCACTTGGATATCCAAAATATTGTAACTCCCTCGATGTAATCGCTGCAAGTTATGAATATTTACTGCCATCCTATTTTCTGCCATTACTTTATTATGTCAGGGCGAGTGAGTGTGTGGGCGGGACAAATTGCTTTTCAATCAATTGAGCTTGCAGCTATTGCACTCGCCCTAAGGTTGCCTCTTCGACTTCATATATATACTATATATTGCTCATACGACCCGTTGGCCCAAGAAAAACTTGCTGCAAGCAAACCCATTCATATGTATTTGACTTTTTGGTTTCGATTTGTGCCATTGACTGGCAAAACGCCCTCGAACAGTCTTCTATTACAAATGGAAATTTTCCGGCTTCTGCCAAAAAAAAAAAAAAAAGAAAAAAAGGGTGGAGAAAAAATGAAAGAAAGATGGTGGAAAAAAAAAATGGATAGGATGCGCGGGTGTGCGTCTCCTTTGGCATGTTTATGAGTCAGCTGATAAATAAAATAAATTTCATTTAAAGCCCATTTCCGCTTTATTGCCACTAGCCGCTAGCCGGGCTATTTGTGTCCATAATTTGGCTCGTAAATAATGCAAGTATTTCCCCAGCGACTCCCTGAGTCAACCCAGCAACCGCCTCCGCAATCTGCAGCACTCTGCAGTTGACAGACCCCGGCGATGCAATCGGTTTGCTAGATCCCAGCTGATGAGGTTATATAGCCCTCGGCGGGGATTCGCAGCTGTAGGTTCCGTAAGGTGTTACCGCCGACATAATCCTTATGTCTTAGAAATTGCATCAGCAGCACATCTAGCCGCAGATGCTTATAGAGTGTCGTGCTCCGGTTCCTCCACCGGGGAAAACCACGTACGTGACAGCAGCTTCCACCTGCTCTGGTCGGTCAGCCGGAAAACGGTTCGGTTGGTGAGTGGGCACAGTGTGCAATGTGTGGCGAAATGCAGGTGGAGTGTTATCTCACCTGGGATTTAAATATGAACACAAGATGAGTGCGTTTGAAGGTCAATCAGCAGCAGATATTTTTATGGAATGTAAGAGGTTATGCGGCAGAATTACCCGATATTGCATGGCAGTCTTACTGGTTACTTAATGTGTGGTAATAGGGAAAAAACAGGCGAATGCTTAACAGATGTAACTGGTTTTCCAAGAAACAGTTGCCATGAAAGGGTTTATGAGGTAAGAATAACAATTTAAATGAAGTAACAAATTAGGACAGATATTTATGCATATTTGACTTGATTTTCCCATATTATTTTCCTTCTCTTAATACCCCGAACTTGGTCCCACTGTTCTTCTATTTCCTCCAACACACTCATTTGCAAATTTATGTTCAAAACGTGTGGGCCAAATTATGACAAACCGCAGTGAAAGTTTCAAAAAGCATTTTCAGCACACACTTAGCGCTCACCTTTACCCCACTTCCACCTGGGTGATGAGGTAGAATATATGGAGAGAATGAATGAGCGAAAAGAATAACCTACCGAGGAGTACGTGCCAGTTTAGTTCACTCGAAAATGGATGACCACGCCCACCACCAGTCTCGTTGCTGGGTTACTTTTCGGTTGATTAAAGTGCGGATGTGTATGGGAAAGTCCATGGAAATTTCACTGAGGCTTTGTGCTATCTCTCCTCTTGGCTGCTCGTGCCCATAATTAATGTTTATGCCAACTGGAGTGGCCAGCGACTTGTCTTTATTTTGCTGGCTCAATTCCCTGGCTCTGATGGTCCTATTTGGCTTATAGAAGTGCCAACTGATGCATTATCTAGGTGTAGAGGAAAATAATAGGAACTTAAATATGTAGATTACTGAAAGAATAATATGAAAACAAAAATTTAAAACACTTTTTAAATATATTAAATAGTAATTCAAAATTTTTTTGTATTAAAACATTTTTAAATGCGTCTAAAAGAATGCAAAAAAGTCTTTAAAGTCACTCCGCTTTCTTTGTTTTAATAAATATTAGTTAGCCTACTTTTGGGCATTATTTCTGTTGATTTAAAATCACTTTTTCTAAAATTCCTTATTTAAAATTATGTAATAAAATCCTCAAAGTCACTCCAATTTCTTTGATTTAATAAATATTTTTTAGCCTACTTTTGGACATTATTTCTGTTGATTTAAAATCACTTCTTTCTTTTTTGTTAAAATTCTTATAAACTAAGGATTTAATTTCTCCAAGTGCACTCTGACATATAGCTTTGACCACTTGCTTTCCGGCTTTGTGGCTGGGATTAGTTAATTTTGAGATAATTCGAGTGTTAAGCATGTGGCGCAAAGGCAGCTCACACACTCGCACACTCGCTCACACACACACACACACAATTGCAGGCCCCATTCCCAATTAGTTGTCATTATGCGTCCCCGCTTGTTACGGCTCTGGTGCTGCCCAGCAGGACGCAGGACACTCCGCTGGAGCAGACAAAGGATGCCAAAATTGTGTCGCCTGCAATCAGAGCAGATAAGCGTGTGTGCGTGTGTGTGTGAGCTAGTGTTTGTGTGCGATAAACAAGTCTAATTAAAGCTAACGAGATTAGACCAGCCCAAGACGCACTCGAGCACAGTTTGGGGCTTAATTAAATCCCCTGTCAGCTCGTTCTCAAGTTGTCAATTAGCCGGCATTACGACCAGAGCGCATTCTAAACGCATGTTTATTATTGTTTGTTTATTTTCGAAAACGCTCTAAAAATATTCGCAAGTGCCTGTCCCTATCCATTGCCCATTTGTGGGCGTTCGTGCAATGCAAATAAGTAAATGTTTGCCTATGAAATCGATCAACGGATTGGGTAGCTGTCTGGGAGGGAGGTGCTTTGGTGGGGTGGATTTAACCCCCCAGCTCAAGTGGCAAGCAAATAAGAGTCTAAAAATAATCGAAAACACCCGCACACACAGAGAAGCCAATAAGCGGCAGGCGTTAAGACTTGTTCCATATTCATGAAGGGTATGTATCTATCTACATATCTATCTGGTTTATGAGAGTCAACATAGAAATGTTTTGGAAGGAGAACTTAAGCTGAGGTGGGAAAAAGGATGACGAGAGATGGATTTTGCTAAGGTGTAAATTCTTTGGTGGTTAAATTGGGGATTAAGGTTTTTTGAAAAAGCAAATATGACCAATTTTAAAACCGAATTAGGTTATTACATTTTTAAATAAATACTTCAGGGTTATATTTATTTTTTTAACAATGTATTTTGAAGATTTATATTCAGTTAGAACATAAATTCCAAGCTAAACAAATGCCTTGGTAATATTTTTTCTTAAATCTCAACTCTCCTATTTACTTTTCCTTTACAAATTGCCATATTTTTCCGCCTAATGACTTGACCATTATGGCTTTAATGAGATGAAAATGAAATGTCATGATGTCTTTGGCTCGAAAACTGAAACAGAAATTCAAACAAGTGCCCACGTCGTTGTAAGTAAACATTTGCTTCTAATGATCTATGTGCCAAGTTGAAGATATAAGAGGAAACAAGGATACCAGGATACTAGAATACCAGGATATACGGCTATAGATGAGATGAGCAACAAGCTGGGCGTGGCTAACCTTTAACCGGGCCAAGTGAATTATGTTTTGTTTGTTCGTGTAATTGCTTTGGCTGCTTAGTTTTTGCCCAAAAGGGCAAGTTTCATGGGCATGGATCGTGGGCGTTATTAATTTATGAACTCCATCTCCAAACGGGAATTATGCTAATTTACAAGTTTGTCCTTGTCGAGTTAAGTGTGCGAAACAGCAACAAGAACAATTATGATCTAACTAAAGGTACAAACAAAAGCTAAAGCTAAAGTCAATGCCGAGACACAGACGTAAAACTTTTGCCCAAAAGTTTGCTTTTCGTCATCAAGAACAAATCAAGCAAACGACGACGACACAAACAAATAAATATTAGACTCATCAACGTCATCATCAAAATGGCGGCAGGCTGACCGGATACACCAATACAGAAGCAACTTCAACAACTACAACGAAAGTTACAGCAGCAACAACAACAACAACATTTGGTAATGACAGTAATGAAATGTTACAGTTACATTGCGCATCGTTAAGTGGCACACACAAAAGCCCCGGCTGCTAAGTCGCGTGGGAAAAGCCGAAGAATAAAAACTTTGGCTGTGCTGTCAGTTTTTTTAGCAGACCAAAAAAATCGCATTTTATACAATTATAAATAAAAAAAAGTATTCTTTTAAGAGCAAGTAATAGATTTAATTAAGGGAATATATTATCTTAGTCCCATTTGCACCAATCGGCCTCCCTGCGCATCTCCTCCTCCTCCTCCGGCGTAAAGTCATTGACCAGCGAGAATGTCTGGCGAATTTGCTCCGTTGTCTTGCCCTTGATCATATTGGCCACCGTCCTGTAGGTGGTGTGCAGCAGGTTCTGGATGTTTAGGTAGTTAGCCGCCAGTATTATCTCGTACAAAATGCCCTGGTCAACATTGAGAAAGTTGGTGTCCCAGGCACATATGTCATCGGTACGCTTTTCCATGGACTCGTCCTCTTCGGCATCTTCGTCAATCACTTTTGGAATGTCGTTCTTGTGGTAAGTGGCCCAGTTGAGCACCATTTCTAGAATCTGCGAGCTAACTTTCGGCACTGGAAGAACCCCAAAGTCGTCCTCATCGCCCAGATCCTGCAGAGCCTTGCGAATTGTCTCTGAGCACTTGATGACGTCATAGTGGACTTCGAAGAGCACCTTGTCGGAGGACTCCAGGCGAACGATGCTCATGTTTTGGCTTAGGAAAAGTATTAGTTATTTTATTTTCAATCCTTTATTAATTTACTTTTACCTCATTCTTTTGCGTTTTTGATTCGATTGGAACTATTTGATTTGTGTCTGAAATTGTGACTGAAGACAGAAGGCACTTAAGTCATGGCCTTCTTATCTTTATGATATTTCGACAAGGAAAATAAAGTTCTATCTAAATATTGTTTGATTTACATAGTAGGCTTTAAATTAATTAATTAATAATTATTTATCGGATTATTTTTGAATTTTAATTATTATTATTTATTTCCTCTTAAAAAGCATCTCTCTTGATGATTTTTTTGGCTAAACTGCCAGCGCTGAATTGGTTTCATTTGAGAGACAACGAACTAAGGCAGCCACATCGGCCACAGAGTAGAATTTGCATAAAAGGGCAGATTGTCAGCATTGTCCTTGCCGGCTTTCTCGTAAAACAGCAGCAGCAGCTGCAGTTGAAATTCGATTAAGCCGAAAACCCACCGCCCTCTCCGTCTTGCCTTGAACTTGCATTTTAACAACTGTCAGGCTTCCTAACCCTTAGTGCTTCCTCTTTCTTTGTAGTGGAAAATTGCATTGCTTCATTTGGGGTTTTCCCCCTTAAATCGGAGTTGGGAAATGGCGCAGAAATTTCAATTTGCTTAAACAAATAATCCAAATGTAAATTAAATTCTAAATTTTCGGGATTTTTTGTTGGACTTTAAGGGTTGTACTTTGAATTTGAAGCGTTTGACTTGTGAAATTCATGGAAACTAAAACTAAATTAAATTGAATTAATTAATAAATTTAAACAAATTGATAAATATAATAAGCCTTATAGACATTTTCCAATAAACTACTATTTTAAAGACAAAAATATCAATATTTCTGACAAAGAGTTTATTTGCCTTTTCTAGAAATAAATGTCAAGAAAATTGTAAGAAGGAGGCTACATTTTACACAAATAATTCAAAAAACATTTGAATATTGAATAGAAAATCTTGTAAATTAATTCCCAGAGTTTCTACAAAAGTGTTGATCATTTATAAATATTTATAAATGCCTTTAGAAGTAGAAATAAATATTTCCATTTATTCCAATCAATATTTGTTTTAGACAACCAGATATGGCCTCTTTAAGTTAACTCTTATATCTGCTAATCTCGGCCAATGCCTGACCACAAATCTAGGGCCGCAATAAGACCATCTAAATTAGCTTAATTGCAAATTAATGAATATGGGCACCATTAGGGAGTGTGGGCTCAGTCCAACCCTCAGCTCGTATGCTACATTTAACACCCTCTGCCATGCCGCTGCCATTTGGGTTAATTATAAATTATTTGGAGCAGGCTTTTGATGTGTTGTCATGGATATTAAGCTCCCCGCCCCCGTTTAATTATACTTTACGATATTATTTAAATTTGTATCGGCAATGGCGAGCCCGTGATTGATTGCACGGGACCGGGAAATGTCCAAGGTTGATGGGGTCTATGTGCGTGTGTGTCCTGATCCAATTAACGTCTGGCTGGCGATTAGGCAGCTGATTTGCACAAATCAATGCAACACGCCCCCGAACCACCTGTAATATACAGACCGCTGAGGTGGTGGTCGTTCGGTGGTCGGTCGGTCGGTCGGTCGGTCTGTCGGCAGTGAATTGAATGAATTATATTACGGCATACTTTATTGCGCCGTCATAGGCAAGAGAAATGTCATTTTGATTACTCGCACGCGCCACCAAACCGGAGGCGGAGCCCGATTTGTTGTGTTGAGTTTGTTTATTGATTTCCCGACATGACACCGATTGCTTGCATATAAAACGTAACACTAGACAACATTGAAAATGTAGCTAAAAAATTTAAAAGTAATTTATTATTAGTAAATATTAGTAAAAACTTAATAAAACACAAATATCTGGAAAGAATTGCCTCAATTTGAGCTACCATATTACGTATAACTCCCATTTGTAGTCCAGTGTTAAATGTGCGTCGCCACAAGCACGTCTCTATATTCGTTCCGATTTGTTGCACTTCGTAGATTAAAATCGATTTGGGGCCGTTTTGATTCGCATAATTATGGTCATTGTGGGACCCTTCTCAAATGTCAGCCACTTGTCGTCACCGCCGACACAGCCCGTTGTCACCCATTTGGTAAGCGATACCCCAAGACTTTCGGAGTTCCCGCCCCAGTCTCCGGTTTCAGTTCAAAGGAGAGAGTTGTAAATGGCAAAACCGGTCAAAGCACCGCCTTGCACTGCTAAGGCTAGAGGGGCGGCTGCATTTCGACCCTAATTTGTATGACAAATGCTAGACAAAATACGTAACAGTTGACATTGAAACAGGCATTAAAATTTGGTAAGCATTTATTTTTAGATACTCCTCCACACGGACAGACAAAGTGGAGAAGTTTTTGGGGTGCACCATGCCATGGGCCACATGAGCCCAGGCCATGAATAGCAACAAAAAAACGTTAAGGGAGAGAGTCCGGAGTCCCATTAAAGATGCGCATATTGCGGGCAAGGAAGCGTTACGCAGGATAACAGGGCAGCACTGGGAGAAAAGAATAAAATAAAATTAAATATTTGACTTGGTTGAGTCTTAGATAATTTTCAAAGGTTTTCAGGGTTGGAAAGGTTTATTGGAAATATTTTAGCCTCCAAAATCATGGATTATGTTTCATAGAACTTTGTATTAAGTAAGTATTCTTTGTATAATATTCTTTTCATAAGTTACCAGTAATTCGCAATAATTCAAATCCATAATCCAGTTCATTCGAAACTACAAATCGATTCTGGGAACCTTTAGCCCTTGATAGGCACCCCATTGAATCAGTAATTCATCCCTTTTGGCACTTGGAGGAGGAATCAGTTTCAGGTACGTTCAAGAGCAGACTTTCCACAGAATCGGAAAATGTCAATATTTCCAGTTGAGCGCCGCGAAACAAGCGACTTGAAAAATCGCCCAGCGACAAGAGGACTCTTGTCCGGAAACTAATTTAGGAAAATTCTGCAAAGCCGGGAGACATATTTCATGGGCGATTCAAGGAGTTGGGGGGTAGGGGATAGGGGATAGGGGGTCTGGGAGGTGTTAGGGGACCACCGGCAGACATAAGCCCGATTTGCCATTTGAAGCGGAAGTGACCCTTGAAGTTTGATTTTATTTGTGCGCCATTCGTTGGCAACGACGGGACTTTTCTTCTTTTGACCAGGCCAGGAACCATATTTATATTTATTTATTTGCTGCTATTGCGCCGCTGTTGTTGCTGCTCAATTTTTAATCAACGGCTTTGATGGCGTCTTGGCAGCGCCTCCTGGACTCCATGCAATTTCCTGTTTGGCTGTGGAAGTCTGAGAGACAGGCGGCTAGCAAAGAAAAAAAAAAATAAAGAAAGAAAGAGGAAAAGGAAAGCTCGACGACTCGACGCTGCTTGGTGCTTGCCTATTTTTAGCAATTTGGCCATATCCCACGGATTTCAATGTCAACAGCACACAGCAAAACACACACACAAACCCAGCCGGGAATCCGGCATTTGGAGGAGGTCGGAAGTTGTCATCCGCAAGTGCCAAGCTCGAACATAAAGCAGCTCGATCTCCGTCCTCGTTCACTGCTCATCGCTCATCCGATTAGGAGATTGCCTCCAACCCAACTGCAGCATACTTATGGGGCTTGTAATTGAACTTTGCCGCTGAAGGCAATTAAAAGCGAATCATAAATCATCTTTAGGGAAGAGAGAGAGAGAGAGAAGTGAAGCTAGTCGTAAAGGACATGGGGAAACTATAAACTAAAAAAGGGACGAAAATCTGAGTAAATGAGATGCTAAGGGTATAAAAGAACCTTTAGTTTAAGGATAATTTTAAGTAAGAATGTCCGAGAAATATATAAAAACTTGTAGCCTAAAATATATCCAATAAGGACCCTCCATCTCTTAAGGATATGCTTGAAATTCCCTGTGTCAAAACCCTTTCGTTTCGTTTCGCTCCAAGTTCAAAGTGCAAAGGTGCAAACAACGACCAGGAGAGGTGGCATGTGACGAGCCCAACTGTGGAATCGCCAATGAATGCGAATGCGAATGATTCGCAGGACCAAGTAAAAGGAGCCACCGGCCAGGACACAATGGACCAGGCCAGCCTGCAGCGACTTGTCCTCTCCCTCGCACTTGCTTGGCTGCTTCGGCTTCGGCTTGGGTCGTCGCCGACAGTCGGCGGCAGCATTCGGTGCTCCTGCTTACGTCACAAAGCTGCGTAGGCGTCATCATCGTGCGGCGCACCCATTGCCTTCGTCCCGCTTCCGTTTCTCGGCTCTGTAAGTGTGTGTGTGTGCGACTCTCCGCTTCGGTTCTCCGCTTCGTTGAAAAACGACGCCAGCCAGGCGGTGATTTTCCCCCCAAAAACCCCACTCTCCCCACTCATTTTCATTTCCATTTCGCCCCTCCCCCCCAATAAGTCTCAAACCATTTGCACCTCTCTGCTTGAGGGCTTGCGTTCTGGTTTCCCCAAGTTTCCATCGTCGTTGTCGTCTCCTGAATGAAAACTCGTCGTAGCTGTGCTGGCTTCGATTTTTGTTGTTGACGTAGTCGTCTCCCGAATCCGCGCCTGCGCCATAGCTTGTTAGAATCATCTGTTGTTGGGTCCGTCCTTGCCTCCTGCCTCATCCTGGCCATCCTGCCAGCAAGTGCATTTGGCTTGTGGTAGGACCGTTTTTTCAGGGAGGAAATCAAGGGAAATCTGGGGGGGCAGGGGGGTAGGCTCGACTCGGGCTCAGCTGTTTGCTGTTTGACTGTGTTTGCCTGTAGAGTTTTTTCAGCGTTTTCCTTGGAGACTTCAGCAGGCTGCTGTGCAACAAATTCAGAGAGTCCAAGCCGGCTTTTCAAGTGGAGAGATTCTAATGCTGAGTAGGGCTTTTTTCACCATGAATTGAAGCTGAGCTTAGAATTATTTACAAGAAAAATAATGGAGATTTATTTTTTATAAAATGTTTATTATTATTTAGTAAATTATTTTAGATTAATATTATATTTGTAGATATTTAAATAATATAATTTACTTTACTAAATTTACTTTACTAAATTTACTTTACTAAATTTACTTTACTAAATTTACTTTATTTAGTTTACTTCTCTTATTAATTTCTTACTCGCTTCAGCTCAACTCGTTGCTTTTTGTTTATTTCTAAATATTTTCTACACAAACCGTACCGTTATTCAGCTTCTCGTTCATTCAAAACTCTCCACATTAGGTCCTTTTCATTCACAGAGCTCACCTCGGTTTGAAAAACACTCGGTCTGGTGGCAGGGCACTGCGAAATGTATATTATACATGCTGCTCGCTCGTAAAACGTAAAAGCCACAGACATTGTGACGACAAAAAGGACTCGTCTTCGTCCTGCCATGCCACACACACACACACACCCCTCTTCGCTATCCGCTGTACTCCCAGCTCCTAGCTGTTGAATCCTGCATGAGACAAACAGCGAAAAACAGGCTGCAAGCAACGATGACGCCTCTCGTTTCAGGACATAGCCAGCGGTGTTCTCCTTCATTCATGTTGGCTGTCACCCGAGTGGCTCCTCCTTGCGTCCTTTGCCCGCTCGAGTTCGTTTCGGGTAAGGATTTGGCTTCGGGTTTGGTCGCCTTAATGACTTGCAATTCATGGGCTCAGTTTTATTCACATTCTAATTTCGATGCTGCTGCGTGAGTTGTGTTTTGGTTACTCGCTTTCGGGTTTTGTATTTCGTATTTATTTTCCTAATGGGCGTCATCGTTGTTCGAAGTTCGAAAGTTCGAAGTGGGTTGTACAGAGTTCGAAACTTAGGGGCAGGCAGGACACGAAAAATGTTAGGAAAAGCGATCTGCAGGCGGAGGCTTGGGAAAATGTATGGAGTTTTAAAGATTCTACGGAACGGGCTATGATTTAAAATTAGAATAACAATAATAATTGTTTTCTTCTTTGTTACTAAAACTAGAGGAAGGTGGAAGGAAGGTTAATGAATCTAAAAACTTGAAATCAATGTCATATTTACAGGTAAATACAAAGTTTAAAATAATTATAATTTAGCCAAAAATGCATTAATTTCAAACCGGAAAGCTTTAATGTGTTAGTTTTTATTCAATTAATAAACTTGCTTATTTAGTTTACAAATTTAAAAAATTAAATTTTTTGACAATTTTAATGATGTAACCCCTTACAAAATTTTAAAAAAATTATTCAAATTTTTTTTCTTTTTTAACATGACTAGAAAGACTCGCCTGTTGATGCTGATCAAGAATATATATGATTTATAGGGTCGGAAATGATTCCTTCAGTGCGTTTTAGACTTCTGACTGAAATTAGAATACCAAAAAACCAACTTTCGAATGACTACACAAAATTTCCCATTAAAAACAACCCAATTAAATCCCTATCTCTATCTTGGGACTAACCCAACTTCTAAAGACTCACACAACTTTCCCGACATTGAATTTCCCCCAATTTGTGGTCTTTCCTGTGAGAAATGCATTCAAGGAATTGATTGAATCCTTGGTAATTCGCAACTAATACCTAGCAGCTGATGATTGCTCAAACAGGATTCGAATTAGGGAATTTCCCCGCCAGGATTCGGAGACCGATGCCAATGCGGACTCGTGCAACCCACGCAAAGTTGGGGACCGCAAATCATATGGGAGGCGGTGGCAGGTGGCAGAAGCTACAGGGAATTGTGGAAAATGAGAAAAATGGGGAGTCGGCGATGCCGGTAACGGTGCACTTCTGCGCAGGAGCACATAGAAGACTCTCTAGGCTCTCTGGACTCCGCTCTCCGTTCTTCGGGACTTCGGGTAAAACTCTACACAAGAGGCAGGTTGAAAACAAGTGGTTGAGCGGGCAGAGTGCTCAGTACTGAGCGAACTGTCGTTTCGAGCTCGAGTTTTCCCGCTGACTGAGAGCAGAAGCTGTAGCTGAAGAGCTGAAGCCCCCGAGCTGAAGAGGAAGCAGCAGCAGCAGCAGCAGCAGCATAGTAGCAGCCGCAGCAGCAGCAGCCGTAGGAGCAGGAGCAGGAGCAGGCGAAAGCGGTAGAAAGGAGCCAGAGGAGCAGAGCGACAGAAAGAGAGAGCGAGAGCGAGCGAAACGAACAGCAGCCGAGAAGTGAAATTCGAGGCAGGGGGAGTGAGTGTGTGAGTGTCCTGTGTGTCCTGCCTGTGTATGTGTGTGTGTGCGAGTAGCATAAAGTGGAAATACGAAACGCCTTGAGGAGCGACTGCGACGCCGACCGCGGCAGAGGGACACGCGTCAGGCGGCCAAGCAAAAGGCAGACAAACAGGCGAATCCTGCTGAGACGATACGACGAGTCCTTGCTCGTCGGTTCAAACGTGCGGAACACACTTCTGGAGGCAGCCCGAAAAAGAGACACACACAAAAAAAGTAGGAAATCTATTCCACAAAAACACACCAACTCACACTTAACCCACAACAAAGGAAAGTTTTCACCACAAAACAAAGATAAACCGCAAAATAAATAGTTACAAGATACAAGTTAAAAAACAAAATTCGAAAACCCAGAAACGATATTTCGAAAACCCATATTCAAAATACAAAAAAAATATTCCTATACCCAAAAAACCCAGTGCAAGTGGAAAAAGTTATTCAACAAAAAAACCAAATGCTAAATCAGTTCCAGTTAATTGTTTTCCCCTCAATTGATGGCTAACACTGTGAATTTTAATTAATATACAACAACAAGTCATTTATATATATACGAGAAACCAAATCGAAAACAAAGTGCCGCAAAGCTGAGAGCGCTAAAACACACGAAATAAGTGCTAAAAGTTCCTTACAACAAAAAAAATAAAAAAAATAATAATAAAAGCGAAAACGGAAGAGCATACAACAAATATATTGTTACAACTACTAATAAAATATATACAAATTATACAACATCAATTTTCTTTGCATTTTAAAACGAAAACGTAAACGAAATAAAATAATTTAAAAAGCGAGCAGCTCAAAAACGTAACGAAAGAAAAACCCAAGTGCCGTGAAAAAACCAAAGCCTAAGCCTACGAGAAACTGAAGCCGGAAAATCCTAGGATATATAGTGGCTATAAATAGTGGAATCAAAATTAAAAGCCGACGGGAGACAGCAACTAGTTGTCAGGCCAGCAAGCAACTTGACTAGCGAAGGGTCGACGACAGAGGCCAACAAGGTTCAAGCTTCAGCTCCCAGCTACGACTCCAACTCCAACTTCAACTCCAACTCCAGGCCAGGCCAGGCTAGGCCCAGGGAAAGCCCGCCCCCAGCTACTCCCCGGGAGCAGAAGTAGACAATTGATTATTGATTTTGTCTAAGGGCAGCCCAAAGAACTTCACAGCTTAACGCAAAACAAACTTGGCAAAGGGGCCGCAAGCAGGGAAAAAAACACGTTGACGTCGTCGAAAGGGGGGCCGGAAAAACAAGAGTCGGAAAACTCCGGAGTTGGCCGTCAGTGTTGTGCAATGCCAGGCTTAGGCCGGCCCAGTGTTGGTCAGTGGCGTGGCGCCTGAAGACCCACAAGAGCGCTGTGTACTTCAGAGTAGCAACAACAACTATCCAGTCTCGAGAGGCGGGACAAGCCCTCACCAGCCACAGCAACCCACCACCCACCACCACCTACCGCCTACCAAACCATACCATACCATACCATACCCTCTACCCCCACTCGATCCCCTGAGCCGCCAAGATAAGCCGTCTAGTCGAGAAGCTGCGCCAGACCAACAAACGCAGGATGTTCAGCTCGCTGGCCCAGACGCTCCTCTGCGTCCTGCTCGTCCAGAGCGGCCTCTATGCCCTCCACCTGAGCGGCAATGGCAATGGTGGCAGCAGCGGCGACAAGTCTCTGGCCGAGGCGGCCAAGGGCCTCCAGTCGTCCTCACCCAGCCAGCCCATTGGACCCTCGCCGGGCTCTAGTGGTGCCTGGCAGACGGCGCCATCGCAGCAGCAGCAGCACCAGCAACATCCGGGCGGATCTCCGCCGGGCGGTGGATCCTTGCGTGGCCCTGCCCACCGATCCGCCGCTGCGGCCGCCTTCGATGCCACCACCGTGCGGCTGAACAAGGAGATCGCCGACATGGCCCAGCTGGAGCGTGAGCGACTGATGATACTGGCCCGCGAAAAGCAGACGGCGGAGGGTCAGGGCAATCATCGCGGTCATCCCTTCATCACTGGCCGCATCCAGATGCAGCCCAGCGAGGAGCTGGACGTGGGCGATTATCCGGCCCTGCTGCAGCAGGCTGCCCGCGGCTACATCTTTGGCAATGTCCAGAAGCAGCCGCCCAGTCCGCTCAATCTGGAGGAGGACTACGAGCAGCTAAGGGAGATGGAGCACAGGCCGGTGAAGTACTACGGCCGGGTGGTGCAGCCAGCGGAGCGGGAGGAGGAGCAGCAGCAGCCGGAGGGTCTCTACGAGCCGTTGCACTCCTTCGGCGACTTCGATGACTTCTCGGAGTTGGAACAGGAGCCGGATCCACCGCATCTGGGCGAGGATGAGCTGTTGCGCGAACTGGATGCGTATCAGTATCATGGCCTGGAGGAGGATCCCCTGCCCGAGAATCCCTATCGCACGCTGGAGCAGCTCGAGCTGGCTGCCCCCGACTCCCTGCAGCAGCTCTTCGAGCAGGAGCAGGAGCAGCGGGATGCTCCCATGAAGGTGATGCACGCGGGCAAGACCCACACTAATCCGGGAGGCTACAACATAAGGACCCAGCAGAAGTGGGCTAGAAAGAGGAATGGCCAGGGACTGGTCAGTCATAGTTCTGGGGCTGAGAAGCAGCTCCAGCGCCAGATCTTTGCCCAGCACTTCAAGCCGCAGCGCAGCAATGGTGGCAAGCTATCGCTCTCAGCCAACTCAGAGGCCACGGCCAGCAAGCACCTGAAGCCCTCAAGTCGCTCTGGCGCCAAGGATACCGAGAAGCCCAACAATGAGCTGGGAGGCAGTGCTTCCTCCTCTGGTGCCGTCGAGGGAAAACCAAAACAGGCACAGCCAGCGGAACAGCAGTCGCAGGACAAGAAGGATCCTAGCCACAAGAGATCCGGCGGCGGAACAGTGGGCTCGCCGGGTGGCGGCTACTCGGCGCAGCCACCCATGTCCCACAGCATAGCCAGCCAGCTGATGCTGCGCACCGCCCGCGGTCAACGGCAGTACGATGTGCCACAAATCGGTGAGTTACCTTTATTGGTTACCTTTACCTATATATAGTCATTATAGTCCAAGCCTAGCTAAGGGGTGGCCCTGGAAAAGAGGGCAATCGATCGAAGCAATCAAGCCTCGATGAACCTCTGAAAATAATAAGCAAACATTAATTTACAAATGCGTGTTGGCGGGTTAAGGAAAGCCAACATTTACCACCAAATAGTGGCGGTCAATATCTATCCAATATCTGTGCGTTTCATGACGCGTTAATATATATATAGTAGTTCGGCTCAAAACGAATCGAATCGAATTAAATCGACTCGAATCGAGTGGAGCGGAACCCCTTTTTGACCCCTTGGCCAGAGCTATTTTTGGGGTCGAAGCACCTCCACTGGTGAGGTCCCCAAGGACACGTTACAATCGCTCTATTTCCGTACCTATTTCTTGGGCTCACAGCAATTTATTACGACTTTTCCTGTTATTCTTGGCGGACTACTGCATATTTTATGATCCGCCGGCTGGTTGGCAATTTAATCCTTTTAGCTTTTTAGCTTGTGGGCGGCAGCTACTGGGCCACCGGCTCATCAATCATCAATCAGCCGGCGTTTAATAGATTGTCACTAAATCATTTGTCAACAATGGCCGCCAACATGGCAAAGTTTCTGCAGCTTTTTGTCGGCTATTTTCGGTAGTTTGGCCAACTTTTCAGTCTCTCTTATTTTTGGCCATTGCATTTAGCAAATTAGTCGCGCAAAGGCAGGACTTAAGGGGGGACATGAGGAGATTGGTTGAGAGGCTGGACTAGAAGTTCGTCCTTGGCTTTCGCCCATTCCGGGGCCCGTTGTTAATCACTTGGCTGGCTAAATTACTTTACAACAAGTTTTGATGGTCGCCATGAATACGGAATACGCTTAGAGAAAGTTGGAGCGGCCAGAGCCGAGGCAGGTTTGGTTCTGGCCTGGTCTCGACTGACAATCAATTTTAATTTTTAATTAACACTTTCAAGTTTAATGGCGACATTGTTATGGCCCTGAGCTAAATGCGATTTCATTGCTCTGTCCTGCCGAGCAACAACAGCAAACCGAGAATCCTTGGCTCGAAATTATCCTGAAAATTCAGCTTTCGGCTTTTAGCTTTCAGCCTGCTCTCTCTCTCTCTCTCTGGCCATTTGATATTCTGTTCAATTTGCTGCGGCCATTAGTTGCAGATATTTATAATTAATTTGAGTATTAAATTTGATATTTATGCTTTTGGGGGAAACTTGATATAAAGCGGATTTATTAAATTTATTGAGGCAGAATAACTTAATCAGTGAAGGGAGTTGCATACCATAAAAGGGGATATTGTATTACAGACTTTTATTTATTAATTTTGAATTTTGCTAGAATTTTGTTTCCTTTGGAATTTATTTATTTTCTCTCACTTAAATCAAAACAATTTTCTTAATCCTTTTACTTTTTCTTATTTATTTGTTTTTATTAATAGATTAAAATTATATTTGTTGATTTGTTGAGAAAACAACGCCAAGTTTTTCTTTCCAATTAAATTTGATTGGATTAGTTTATGCTACATACCTTCCGGGCTCTTCAGCTTTTCCCTTTTTCTTATTTTCCCTTATTGAATTTTCCTTCTTTTACCAAAAACTGACTTGAAAGATTTTCCTCAAAATTCAATATGAGGAAGACAATCAATGAATTTTCATGTTATGCGCATGTTTGCACAATTTTCCTCATTGTTATGGCTGTCAGTGCTTTTCCCCTCTCATTCTCTCTACCCTGATTTTTCCCACATTTTATTTTCCGTGTGTGTGTGTTTGTTTATTTCCGCATAACGTCATCAAGTGCCAGCTGTGAAAACGTCAACGCTTTGCCACCCGTCGTCGTCGTCGTCGTCGTCGTCTCGCTCCGCACTTCACACTTTCGCTGGTAGTTGGGAAAATTACAATTGCTCCTCTAAGTGTTTTTCCTGGAAAGCGATTATCGTGAGAGCCGCACACATGTGGTTAAGGGAAGGACAAGGAAACGGTAGCACCGCATAATGTGTGTGATCTAGGCGAAACAGGAATTAAAATGCTTAAATATATTGAAAATAATTTGAGAATATAAGATAGTTTAACATAATTTTTATATTCATTTTTTAAAGATTTTAAATACTTACATAAATAACTATTTCATTTGAAGTTAGCGGTTAGTACAACTCTCTGAAAAAACTCCAAAAGAATACCCAAAAATATATATAAAAAAAAAACTTAAAAGAGACATCACGCATTTTCCCGGGAAACCTGCGGCTGCTTTTACAACTTGACATCATTAAAACGCGTTCACAATTTACGATCCTCGACTGGTCCGGTTTCCAACTAATTTAGTAACAACACCCCGGGGGTCCAGGGGCAATCGGACAGGACGGCCTCCGTTTGACAAGTCCTTGCTCCCACGCCCATATCCTGTGTGTGTGTGTATGTATAGTCGCACTCCTTCGCTTACTCAAACTCACTCAAACTCATGTCATGACGGTTGATTTAATTTGTAATTTGAGGCCTGGCCGGTCCTCAAGTGGCCACTTGGCGGCAAAAAGATCATCGATTCGAGCAGGACCTTCCTCCCTCCCGTCAAATATTACGCAAATTAGTTGGAAATGGATATTGGAGATGCGTCTATCAGTCTGCCAGTCTGTCAGTGGTCTTCGTTCTTTCTTCACCCTCCCCCCCGCTTTTCCCATTTTCCGCGTCCTGTGCGTGGGCGGCCGCATTGCAGCGATGGAAAGTTTCACCACAGCGACAGGTTGTCTGCCGCAACTTGTGGGTTCCACAGCCTTCAGCTCCTGCTGCGTTGTCTCCCTTTCCCTCAATAATCTAGGAATGGATATGCAAATGGCCAGGCACTTGAAGAAGGAGCGACAGATCAGACAAATTTCTATACTAGGGGGCTTAAGGATTGAAAGATTGCGACTTAAAGGACTTGCTTGCTTTGTAGTTGCAGAGTTTTGGGAAAATCTTTATAAAAGTAAAGAGACTCTATGTCTGCAAAGGACTCTCTCCAAAAATGTCAGACTTTCTGCCACACTAATGACATTGCCCCTTGACCTACAAAAGATGCGTACAACAAAAGTTCTGGTATATATATAAATATATAGGTATATATATATTCTCACATCAATGCCAATGGCAGACTGACATTTTTGGCATTTTCTGGAGGCGCCTAAAATATTCTCGCCGTCACTTGGCCCTGCTTGCTCTTTCTCCTCCCTTGGGAAGTCCTGCAGCCAACACACCCTGACCCAGGGCTAATTAGGAGGCAAGGCCCAATTTGCATTGCTCGGCAACTCGCGGTCAAATGAACTGGAAGCAATGACGCCCCATGTCACGCCCACACACTGAATTTGTTAATGAGGTGGACACTGTTTTTCTGCCCGGCAAATTAGCCTTTTGACTTAATGCACACTGGCCAAAAATAAACAGAAAACGTGCTGGAAATGGCCAGGACAAGAATCAATAAACGGTGACATCATCATCATCTTGCTGCTAGCCAGCATCCCAGTTGGAGGGGTTTTTTTTTACAGCATATAGACAGGACCTACTCCTCCCTCCCCTCTTGCATATATAATTATGGCACACACACACACAACAGCAACAGCAGCAACAACAACAACAACTGAGGGAGGGAAAATATTTACATTAGCGTGGCCAGGATCTGGTAAAGGACGCGGCCATTGAGCAGGCCAATTGTCTGGGTGTTGGTGCGACGGCTCATTCAGCCAGTTTGACGACAGCAGAGCTCTGGCCAAAAGTTTTGCTTTCTTCTTGCGTCACAGTCTGAGAGATTGACATACTTATGCCCCATCCCCATCCCCAGACTATACTATACTATACCACCATATAAATCTGAACAAAGTGGCTAAAGGATTGGCGTGGCATGATGCTGAATAAACATGGCCTGCATAAATATCAACTATGGCCCAATAATGAACCACACACCAGGACCAAGATTTTTGGCCGAAAATCTATAATAAGACACTGGAGACCCGCATCGAGTATATATCCTATTTGGCCAGTCAGCTCTTAGTCATCCGTAATGAAGAGCGAAAAGGGGAAAGCGGGGAAAAGCGAGAGGAAAAGCCAGCAGAACTCTTCGGCAAATAAATGTGGCTGAGTAATCGTGTGTGTTTGTGTGTGTGCTAGAATTTTTTAGTCAATGAAGCGTCAAGGACTTTTTGCTTATGATATATTTACCCAGGGGAGGACTCCGAGAGAAAGAGAGAGAGAGAGCGTGCCAGCCAGAGAGCGAATCCTTAGCCACAAAAGATGATGCAATGCAATCAAGAGGCAGCCGTGGGTAGTTGGGCTTAGTAGGTATCCTTCTCCTGGCTGGTATCCTCTCATCTCGTGCCTAATGAGTGGTGAGCTGACGCGGAATTTATGAATGAATTCCGGAATATGTACTAGAGCAGGACAGGCACAGAACAGACAGAGAGACAGGCAGACAGACAGGCAGGCAGGCAGGCATCCTGGCAGGGGCAGACAGTGGGCGGCAGAAGGATATCGAAGGCAGTTCCTTAATTCATCAAGCTTGTCTCTCCCTGCTGAAAGGGGACATTGTTTCAGCTCAAAGTGAGCGTAAAATGAACCAAGTGCTGCCAGCTTCCCGTAATTAGCCTGCTTAGCATATGAATAATGGGTTATTTATTGGCTATACTTAGACGTCTTCATAGATCTGAGGGAAAAGGAGAATAGATAATGTGACAGGCAATAAATTTGGTTATTATACCCTTGCAGGGTATTATAATTTCAGTCAGAAGTTTGCAACGCAGTGAAGGAGACCTTTCCGACCCTATAAAGTATATATATTCTTGATCAGAATCAACAGCTGAGTCGATCTGGCCATGTCCGTCTGTCCGTCTGTCCGTCTGTCCGTCCGTCTGTCCGTCTGTCCGTCTGTCCGTCCGTCTGTCCGTTTCTACGCAAACTAGTCCCTCAGTTTTAAAGCTATCTGAATGAAACTTTGCATATAGTCTTCTATATACTCTCACTGC